GGATTCATTCTGATTGGAGAAATATGCTACCCTGCTCATCCCAAAGCAGCGACAGGGACTATGGGTATGAAAGTACCTACCCTGAGCCCATGCTCCACCTCTGGTATCAGATCAGAAGCCTCACCTAAAACACAAGAGTTCCTCAATGGGAAAGCAGGGTGCTTTTACCAAAGGAAAGGGCAAAGTACACCATGTACTAAAAACTGCATGTACTCACCCCGAGAGATACATTCGGCTGTTTTCAGGTTTTGTTTACATAAGGATTTGAATTTATGTAGTCAAAGATCCAGAGAGTAATGGTTACTGCTATGCAATAATTTCTAAAAGTGTTATTAGCTAAACAGAACCCACCTCCATACCTAATATTTCTTAGAAGTCACCAATATGCAGCTATTGGACAGCATCTTTTATTTACTTGTTAAAGTAAAAATATGTTCTTTGATAATTTCTTACATATATACAATGTCTTCATCATGGTCACCCTTCATTTCTCCATTTTAGCTCCCACAGACACTCCCAACATGTCTCCCTCCCAACTTCGTATCCTTTCTTTTTAAAAATATCCTACTTTATCCAATTGGTGCTGCCTGTTTGTGTGTGGATGTGGGGTCATCCACTGGAGCATGGGCAGTGTCCACCCCCCCACCCCAATGACTATCCCGTCAACTGCCAATAGCTCCTTAGGTAGGGGTGAGACCCCTGGAATGCCTCTCCATGTTAGAATTTTGATTGGCTTGATCTTGTGCGGGTCTTGTGCAAGTAACCATAGCTGCTGTGAGTTGATGTGTGCTGTGGCCATGTCATGTTGGACTGTATTTTTTTCTGAAAGTTGAAAAAATGTGAATAACATTTTTCATATTACAGTTTTCAGAGCAGAACACACTGAGGGCTTTGAAGTTGTCTAAGATCTCTGTCAAGAATGATCCTGCTATCAAGTTGACAAGATTCTTCTCCTTAACCTTCTCCTCCCCACACCTTCCCAGGGCGCTCAGAATCCAGCTGCGTTGACCTGCACAAGATCAAGTGACTATCTAAAATTCTAACATGGAGGAGGGAGGAGTTCCCAGGGTCTCACCCCTTATCTGAGGAGCTATTGGCAGTTGATGGGATAGTCATTTCACTCTATAGTCTCTCCATACTTTGATTGACAGGCACTGCTGTCCAGTCACCTGTACTTTCTCCTTCTTGATAGAATCTTTCCTTCTGATTACCTTGGTATGTGGCAAAATGCCTTTTGTGATCTCTCTCTCTCTCTCTCTCTCTCTCTCTCATCAGAGGACAACCTATAGCAATTGGCATTCTCCTTCCACTATATGGATTCCTGGGATTGAACTCAGGTTTGCCAGACTTGGCAGCAAGCACCTTTATCTATGAGTCATCTTGATGACCCTCTTTGTATTTTTATATGAAGGAGGGGTTTGAAGATTGTTACTGGGAACCGTGTGCTTGTTATTGTAATAGGTAGCTCTCCATCTGCTACCTTTAGGAGAGCTACCTATTACATCCAGGCCTAAAGCCCAGAAAGGGAGACTTGATTCTTGGATCCTCACATCCATATTGCTGTGCTTACTATTTTATTAGATGCTACGTTAAGTATTTGAGATAACACTGACCACACACCTTAGTATTTATCTTAATAATGGAGGACAAATACTCATTTATGTTATCCATTGTCTTCAGGTAGACAAATCTGGGAAAATTTCGCTTTCATAATCAGAACTTCAATTAATTCTGGTTTTAGAGCTATTCTTAAGCTGCATTGCTTCTGTCCAAATCAAGAGCTCTCGTGGGACCTTGCGAGCATGTGAGCTGTCTGACTTTCCCTAACTAGTATTTAATCTGATTTTGTTTTATAGGAAAATGTTAAGTTTCTGATCCTCTTCCCATACTTTTTTTTGCTTGTACATTTACACCTCTGTATGAATTCCAATATTGTCTTGCTTTCTTATAAAGGGGAGTCCATAGCGACACATGCTTAATTAATACACTAGATTATACATGAAGTTTCTGCATCCTTCTTTTGGTTGCTGCATAATATTCAGTTGCACGGATGGTTTCTTATGTATTAGCTTGTCTTCTGCTGATTAACAACGAGTTCTGATTATAAACTCTTTTCTGAGCATTCCTCTTTGTGCATGTGTATCTGTAAAATAAAGTGTTAGCAGCACGATTGAAGGGTGTTGGAAAGTTCCCCTTTTGAGAGAGAGAGAGAGAGAGAGAGAGAGAGAGAGAGAGAGAGAGGGAGAGAGAGAGAGAAAGGGGGGGGGAGGTGAGCCAGGCTGCCTGAGCTGATAATCTTGGCTTTCTTCCTTAGCAGTTTAGTGACCTTGGGCAAGTTTCTTAAGTTTCAATGTCTTACTTTCTAATGAGTAAAATGGTAATAATATCACCTGTCTGCTAGGGTTATTAGTATCAAATGAACTAATTTGCTGAAATTCATGTCTTATTTAAACACTCAGTCATGATTCTCTGTTAATATTATTATTCCAGGTCAAACTTAGCAACTGCACTAGTGAAAAATGTCAGTGTTCTTGATGGGCTAGTGCTGGTTTGTTTAGGTACACTCCTCTGTATGCCCCTTGAAGAAAGCAAAGTGCTCCCAACAACAGGACTGCAAGCTCACTGCCAAGGGTAGAAGGTACTGCAGGCCTGAATGAGGGACCCTGTGCTCTGCTGAATGTAGCCACTTCAAAACTCCCACTGCCAAGGCTGGGGATGTAGCCTAGTGAGTACAGTGCTTTCCTAGTATGCAGAAGGTCCTGGGTTTGACTCCCAGCTCTGCATAATCCAGGTGTGGTTGAACACTCTTATAATCGCAGCACTCAGAAGGTAGAGGTAGGATGATCAGGAGTTTCAGGGCACAGACTGGGATGTATAAGACCCTGTCTCAAAATAAAAGAGAAAAAAAAATTTCATTGTTAACTACTTGAATGCTACTCTGGCAAGTGCTTAGCTTGTAGTTGAATGAGTGAGTGAATAAAAGTAGGTTTAGGAATTATTTTTCTTGTCTCTAATTCCCTCCTGCTATTGCTAAGCCTCCTGGAAAGAAGCTTTGCTGAGCACCACAGCTTCCCCTACCTGTAAGTACTTTGAAGGAAGCATGGAGTGACTATGTCTGTCTAAATAGACTGGAGCATCTGGGGCAGGTGAGAGCTAACACAGTTCCCAGGGCTCTCTGTGAACACCAGATGGGGAGGTCTGGTGAAACCACAGACTTCCTGCTGCCTCATGGGAGGGGCGTTTGGGCTGTTGTACTTCTACATTAAAAGAAGAATGAGTGCTTAACCCTGGGAAGTCTAGCACAGGGCTTGTTATGTGCTAACCCCTCACTAAGTGGCACCTTTTATATTCCATTTCTAACTTTTGGTATACACTAAAATAGTCTATGCTTGAAGCTGTGTTCAGCAGGGATCTTGAGCTTTCACCCACACCCTCTCAATGGTATCACTTTCCTTTAGTGAACTGAAATTTTAAAGACTTAGTTTCTGACTCTACAAAGTGGGAAGTAGCATTGTTAATATAACAGCTACCACCTGTCTAAGCTTAAGAGCACAGCTTGACATTAAATTGTGAGCAAACAAATAAGAGTCTGTAATATGTCCCGAAACCTTGATCCAGAATCCACTATTCACAGTAAAACCATTACAGTATTATGTTTCTAGAACATTTCTAACAGATGTTTGGCTAGGGAATTCTTGTAGAATATAATTAGAATTTATTATTATTTTTAAAACAAAAATTATTTATTTATTTATTTGTGTGCGTGTATTGCCTGAATGTAGGTAAGTGCACCTGTGTTGTGCAATGTCCATGGAGGTCAGAAGAGGCTGTCGGATCTCCTGGGACTGGAGTGACAGACAGTTGTTAGCTGCCATGTGGGTTCTGGGATTCGAACCCCGGTCTTCTGCAGGAACAACCAGTGTTCTTAACCGCTGAGCCATCTCTCCAGTCCCTATTGTTATCATCTACATATTTTTGAGATAGGGTCTCACTATGTAGCCTTGGCTGGTCTAGAACTTGCTATGTAGCCCACTTTGGTCTTCAATTTGGGGTGATCCTCCTGCCTCTGTCTCTTGAGAGCTGGGATTATAAGCAGGTACGCCACACCCAGCTCTATTCATGTGTTAATGGGTTGAGAATCAGAAGTCTTTGTGAACAGGGATTTTTTTCTAAAATTAGACAATATATATATATTGCACACATTGTAGCATGATGTATACTTTTCACTGTTAACATATACCTTTTGGTATTATTTAGAAAGTAATCAGGAACTTGATGGTAAGAAAACAAATTAACAACTGCTTGCTTATACCAGATTCAGTATGGACCCTGAAGCCAAGACACTGCTTTCTGGGGAACAGTCAGGAAAGATCCAGAAAAGTCGTCATGACATCAGCTGCAAATCAGCTGCAAAGTGGATCTTTCTGGATGAAATATCCAATGTACCTACTATTTTAATAATGAAAGAGGTGCCAGGGTTGTGGCCTCTCAGGGGTCTTCATTTGCCATAGATAACTGGGTGTTTTTGTTTTGTTTGGGGAAATAAATATTTGAAGGAGGTAACTGAAGAAGGTTCTGCAGTTCTTATGATGTTACTGATACACAGGCTGACGCTGTTATGGCGGATGCTACTGGGCTACATTATCTTTATGCCTCCAAGGTAACCCGAAGCAGCTGTCTATTGACTTGGCAACTAACCTTACCCTGAATTGTCCGCCCTGCTGGGCGCTGTAACCAGAGCCGATTACCTACCTCACAGACAGCTTTCTTTAGCCACTGACAGCAAGAAGGAAGGAAGAGCACGAAATCGCCCAGGATGGACGCTTTCAAGAGGGGCTAGATGCTGAGTGACTCTGGGATGGTGGCCCTGCCATGTCCACTTCTATTTAGGGGCCACAGCCACTAGTGCGTCCTCTTTAGGCACAGAAAGAGTTACTATAAGGCAACCCCCAGAAGACTTTCTTTTCTCTTTTGAACTTTGCCATGTGTCGCTGCAGGTCATGTCCACGTGGAAAGCGAGACTCACCAAAAGCCTGAAGTTCCCATCTCGAAGGATGCACCCCTTTCCGTGCTCAGCTCTGCTGGCTTGTTTTGGAAATACCAGGGAGAATGCTGCCTTTGATCAGTCCAGCTCCAACGATACTCACTCGACCGTCTATGTCCAGCCCATGGCCAAAGTGGGCAGACACCCAAGTCACCCGAGGGCGGAAGAAGGAGCTCTAGAGAAAAGGCAGGCTTCTGGTACAAACTCGGAGAGAAACGGCAGTGCAAATCGAAATTCCAGAAACCACACCACTGTCCAGCCTGCGGAGACTCCTGAGGACTTGTCCGGGTCTCTGAACAATGACACAGGCTGTGAAGCAGTTACTTTCCAGACGTCCATCCCTAGACCATCAATTATTGACATGCCAAAGGTGAGTCAGGGTTCCCAACGCTGTTATAGATGTGGTGGTACTGGGCGGGGGG